AGAGGACAAAGAATGTTCCATAATGTGGGTGTCATGATGAAGAAGGTTCACCTCCTTGGACCCACTTAGTGTAACTGTCTAGTACAGTGGTTCCCAAACTTGGCAACTTTAAGACTTGTGGCAGAGCTGGCTGGAGAATTCTGGGAGTTGAAGTCCACAAGTCTTAAAGTTGCCAAGTTTGGAAGCACTGGTCTAGTAGAAAGGAATTAAAGCATGCCCTGTTTGCCAGGTTTAGTGGGATAGGCTGACATAATTGGGATGATGCAGCCCCTCAGAAATATAATATTAATACTAACCGACCCATTTTTAATTAACACAGTGAAAAAAAATTCTTAAAATCATGATGTGGTGGAAGGTAGGGTAAAGTTTTAAAATACTCTTATCACAGTTGATTTCCTTTGTCTCAATATGTCTGGTAAAAGCTAGGAGATCCAATTCCATGATTGGGTTGACCTTCCATGTAATTAGCCATTCCTAATTGGGGAATTCTATCCAAAATAACTGGGGCTGAATAATCTGTATGCCCAATAATGTTTGAACATGTTAAATTGAAATTCAAATGTCCTTCTCCTCTGAAGGCAGAGTTGGCAAAGAGTCAGATTAGTCACAGCATAATGCCTTCCTAAAGAAGGACCAACTATCTACTGTATATGTCAGCAAGTCTTTCGTATTGGAATGGCTCTTTGGTAAGATGCTGTGGGATGATAGTTCATGGTTAGTTGCATTTGATGATCTCTGCTAGTTCTGGAGTTATCTGCATTACTGTTGCTTCTGTTCCCGTCCCCATTTAAGTTTTAAAGCAAGCAAAGGAATTTAAAGAATTCACAATGCCATAGAAATTTTTTAATTGTTGACAGTGTAATGTCTTTTGAGTGTTTTGAACGTCAATAACCATCATCCCCAAACAGCATGACCAACAGCAAACCAATATAGTAGGACCTGTATTACAAACCCCCATGGAGTTTCTTGCCTTGAATATTAGACAACATCAGAACCATGAGAAATAGTTTATAAAGGTAAAGGTTCCCCTTGCACATATGTGCTAGTCATTCCTGACTCTCACATATGTGGTGCTCATCTCCATTTCAAAGCTGAAGAGCCAGCGTTGGCCAAAGAGGTCTCCGTGGTCATGTGGCCAGCATGACTAAATGCCGAAGGCACATGGAATGNAGGGATAACAGCTTGGAAATCAATCCAGTGATGTCCTTCCAGATTCTCTCCTGGTGAGATAGTGAAAAGCTAGCTGAGGGTACTTCTGATGGTGAGGGAAGCACTGTAGCTTCCACTTTTCTTCCAGTAACTTTCAGGAACTCAGCAGAGAGACTCTGTTCTCCCAAGTAACTCCTTGATCAATTGGTTTTGGAGTTTCCTCCTTGCAATAGCGCTCCTCAGCTGCTGAACAATCAAATGAGCAATAGGCTGCCATCACCTGCTGGAGACCACAAGGGGTAGTTTAGCACCTGCAGGCAATTGCACAGATGTCTGCTGAGGCTGGAGCTTATCCAAACTTGTTATATTTTGAACAAATTATTCAAAAGCACTGTAAATGTCAGCATTGCAATATTGTTATAATGCAATTTTATATGTTTATGTTCAGAAGTAAAAAGTCCCAATACACAAAGGAATTTACTGGCAAGAAAATATGAACAACATCAACGCCTCTGCTATTTCAGGCAGAAAACAAATCAAAAACCTAGAAGCTATTCCATGAAAAGCAATGATTTATTACCTTTTAAAATGACTGTTATTTGCATTGTTTAGAATTCTGATAAATATTAAAATAAGGTAAACTTTATCAAGTGTTGTATGTATTTCTAAAATCAATGTAGTGCCTTTACTATGATCCCCAAAGAATTGATGCACGTATGAAACATGGAATATATTATTTTAACAAATCAAATTGGAGTATAGCTATGCATGATTTTACAATGGTGATTAAAAAAGATCCAAAACATGCAGAGGCAAGGTAAGCACAAATTATATTTTATTTGAAATTTTTGTAGTTGATTTCTAAACTAAACTACAGATATCTAATATATAATGTCCTATTTCATTATTTGTAAGCATCCACAATTACTCTCTCCCCTTCATCTCTGCAAGCTTAAGGACCTGTAAACTAGGTTTAAAGACATTTTTATTAGACTAGCAGGTTAGTGAAGGGCTTACAGTATATCCTGTATAAATGATATAAAACAAAGATGAAGTTTGTCTTGTGGCAGATACATTTAGTTATTTTTAAGCTATAAACATATATAAAAACCTCAAAACATAGTAGGATTGTGGACTTCAGTGAAGTTGTTGGATTACCAACAATAAGCTTGCACTCTCCCTTAATGAAAAATAAATAAGTAAATGAGATAACAAAGTTCAGAGAATGCTTCTCAATCATCTAAGATTCAATTTCAATCCTCTGAAGTTTTCATCTATTTTGACTCCCAAAATAAATTAATCTTGTCCTGTACTACTTTATTCAATGGAGAAGGAGCTGTGTTACCCACAAAATGAACGCTTAAGAAGATCTATTGAATATTCCTCTTGATCATTAAAAGAAGTGGTTGAGAATAGTCCTAATTGAGGGGAAAATAATCTAACTCCTTCATAAATCTTTGATGTAAGGAAAATGAAGGTATTCTTACCAAGATGGAAGCCTGAAAACAGTTGAATCTTAATTCAGCAACCCATAAGCATGGCACTACTAAATAATTTGCTAAGAAAATTTACCATTTCAGAAACAATGCATTTGCTGAAATATTTGAAATAAGGTAACAGTTCCCAAATGAGAATATGGTACAGGCATGGTTCTAGCCCAGTGATAGCGAACCTATGGCACGCGTGGCACAGGTGGCACGCAGGGCCATTTGTGAGGGCACGTGAGGCGCTGCCCTGTCAGCTGGCCAGTTCGCATGCGTGTGCTGGCCACCTGAGTCCATCCTTTTTTAAAGACATTTTTCGCCTTGCCCAGGCTCCAGAGGCTTTATAGGAGCCTGGGGAGAGCAAAAAGAGCCTCCCCCCCCCCCCCCCCCCCCCCCCCCCCGCCCGGGAGGGTGTTTTTTTTTTTTTTTTTTTTTTTTTTTTTTTTTTTTT